AAAAAAAACAACAATTGAAAAAATTACATAATCCAAACATCGCAAACTACTTTAATTAACAGTAGATGCTTAAAGTGTTCGCCATGAACTGCCATAAATGATTATAAGTTATTCTCGAAACGCCGTCTGACGTTTTTGAGCATTGATGGCATTCGTACCTTTGGAATAACAATTGACTTACTATGCCTCCATCTGAATTATTTTCTTTCGTGTAATTCAATATTTATATGAAAGTAGCTGTTCAAATAAGATTCCTCTTGGCTGGGATTGAATCAAATAGGTGAATGAATGTCATTACGATGTCATCGATGACATAAGCAGATCAAGCTTATTCCGTGACATTCAAAATCGTAATTCATGTATGAAGTGTGTGTATTTTCTATAATGTTATCCAATTTGGTACTGAAGAGCCTTAGGGCAAGTGTCTTAAGGCGAAACATCGGTGTATACCAGTAAGGGTGACAGTGTTCTTTGTGAGTACAATTTATTACCATTCATTCAAAGTAGAACTCATGTGAATGATATCTGATTCTTATTCTACAACAAATGTTTGATATACAAACTGAGTAGAGAAAAGTATCTTCTGTATAATTCAGTGTTCATATAGAAGTATTTGTTTTGAAAGAATTTTTTTTCTTGCGTGTAATTCAATGTTTATATGAAAGTAGCTATTTCAGGAGGACTTTCTTTCAGTTTGTGTCTGAAAGTTACTTCTTTGCATGATCTACACATTCATGTATAGAGTTTCAAATTGATTACTTCCTTCCTTTCTTTGGAAGATTCTCTCATCCCTTTTTTTTGTATCAGATGGAGTAGTAGAAAGCCAAAAACTTTCTTTCCCAAAAGAAAAAAAAATTAATCACTCCTAAAATTATAACCCCTTCAATTCGAAAAACCTTTTGTTCCAGTGCTTATTTGTGTCAGTTTCTTGACAGTAGTACGCCAGGTACATTGAAGAATGAAATAATTTTTTTTTATTCTATTCAGGATAGGGTAGGAATAATTGAATATTATTTCAAAAATAATGAATGTGTCAACAAAGCCAGTAGAATTTCCAATGAGCAACACCCAAACAAAAACGTATAGCGTATATACGTTTTGGAACTGATTTCAAAATTTCGACAAACGGGATCTGTGGCAAATAAAACACGTCAAATTGAAAACCCACTAAGAAACGAAGCAGTGGAGGTAGAAGTTTTAGGACAGGTTGCTGCGGATCCAACTCTTGGTACACGAAAGCTTGCCGAATTATCTGGAGTAAGTCGACGTACTGACGGGCGAATTTTGAAAGGTCACAAATTTTGCTGTAGCGGTTCGTCAGTATGAAAGATTTCACAGACACTGGATTGGAAGAAGGGGATGCATTGAATGGCCTCCTCGATCTCCAGATTTATTCCCCTTAGATCACTTTTTGTGGGGCCATTTAAAAAGTGAAATATACACCACTCAGCTAGGTTCGTTAGCAGAGTGACGTCAACGTATTACTACCGAATGTCGTCAAATAACCCCAGACATGCTCCAAAACGCCAGACAATGTTTTGAGACAAACTTATACCCATGTATGGCAGTGAATGGAGAGCACTTCGAGCATCTACTATGAATCAATGTAGTTTGGAATGATGTTAGTTAAATTTATGCACAATTTTCCAATTTTCAAGTTATGTTATTTTTTCAAATTTTGTTTTTTTTTTTTCGTGAATTGTTCACATTACCTTTTGAATAAAATGTGAACTGAAAAACGAAACAGTTGTTTTTCTTGCAATAGAGCGCCAAAATGGAAAGTTAAGTAACAAACACTCACATGTCTGAATTCCTCATGGAGTTACCTTTTCAATGCTGTGTCACACTTAGTACTTTCCCTAATCAAACTGTATGAATTACCAAGGGGTGGGGAGAGAAGTATGACAATTGAGGTAATGATAGGATTTGTCCCCTTTGTATTTAAAATTGACGTGTTTTTGCATTATGTTCACAACACATGTGTTTTGAAAAATTAGTTTTCGGTGTGGAGTTAAATCGAACCATAATTATAAATTTCTTCCGCCATTTTGGAGCCACCATTTTGATTTTTTGCAGTTTTTTTCTCACAAGAAGGCTCCAAATCGAAAGTTAGGTAGCTAAAATTGACATGGCTGAATTCCTTATGAAATTACCTTTTCAACGATGTGTCACACTTACTACTTTCCCTATTCAAATTGTTTGAGTGATAGTCACCGAGTGGTGGGGGAAGAGGTATGACAGTTGAGCTTAGGATAGGAAGATGTCCCCACTGGATTACAATTCGATGTGTTTTTGCATTCATTTCAGAACACATATGTTTTGAAAATATTCGATATGTTTCGTTTTCGGTGCCCCACCCTGTATGTTCAAACATAAGCTTAAAGCTTTCTCAGGTTTGCCCAAAGCACATACACCAATATGTTGATGTGAAAAATACATATTACTACAATCTATAAATGTTGGTGGAAGATGTATGTGGTTGAAATTGTGTAATCTGTAGCTTGATTTGTTTCTTTCATTTTTGAATATAGGGTGTTTGTTTGATTGATTTGTGGGTGATGTTCGATGCAATATACCTATTACGACTGTTTCATTACACATACACTCAAATAATAATAATAATAATAATATCCCCCCTATCGGGGGATAGGGCCTGACCAGCGCACACTACGGTGAAAAAAAAAAAAATAATAATAAACCCTGATATTGATATTATCGCACTGAGCTAATTCACTTATGGTACCCCTACTTCTATTATAAAATCTCATCGATACCGACTTTGAGGTATTCAGAACTAGACGATTACGATCACACCAGCTTGTGAACTGGTCTATAATCAGTCTAACTCTTGTTAGCAAATCATCTGAAGTAGGTCCAGCGACTGTAATGGTGGTGTCGTCAGCGAACATAGTTAAATAGCAATCACTCATATATTCCGACAGATCATTGACAAAAATTAAAAACAATAGGGGACCAAGAACAGAGCCTTGGGGGACCCCCAATCTAACCTCGCGTTCATTAGACATTGAATTTATTTGCTTTACAATTATGCTACGACCATTCAAGTAAGACTTAAACCATAGTACTATGTTATTAGGCAAACCAAGCACACTTAATTTGGTCAACACAAAATTTGTTGATACCGTGTCAAATGCTTTTGACAGGTCAAAAAACACACTGATAATAAAATCATTTTTATCAAGTTTTTCATAAATATGACTGAGAAAACAATAGCTAGCTGTTTCAATAGAATGATTTTTCCTAAAACTGTGTTGGCAGTTTGATAGCAGGGTATTACTTTCCAGATAGCTGATAATTCTGCTAGCCACTAATTTCTCATATAGTTTGGAAAGTTCACAAAGCAGAGAAATTTGTCTGTAGTTATCTATTTCGTCTTTACTACCTTTTTTAAACAACGGTAAAATTAGAGCTTTTTTGAATTCATCAGGAAAATATCCTTGGATGAATGATTGATTGAAAAGATAAGTGAGTGGGTCGATTATAGCATCTATTATGCTCTCAATAGTACTCATAGATGGATCATCAACGCCTGATTACTTTTTATTTTTCATTAATTTTTGGGTATCATGTATCTCACGTTTAGTTATGGGACTGTCTTCGTATGGATAGAGAATATTAAGCTTAGTACTTGTAGTGCAAGGCAGTGATAAGTTGAGTCCAAAGTGATTATTTATGAGAGATTCAGCGGCTTTTGAAAAATGCTCGGCAAATGCTTCAGCTACTTCTAAGGGCTTCCCAATGGTTTTGGATTCAAGTTTCAGGTTGATGTTACTATCAGCACAGGAAAACCCACGTTTGCCAAGCTGATTGTTTATTATATTCCACGTTTCCCTAGTTTTATTGGTAGCATTGCTAATTTTTGCGAAAAAGTAGTCTAATGTTTTTTTTATGCTCTTTAAGTCTATTTTAATAATTAGACATGCTCTCTATTTATATTAACAATAGGTAATTTCAATGTGATTTCTATATACAATTTTTCTCCAGCTTTTTTTCATCATACTGAAAGGAACTTCATTTTTAAAATTTGATTTATTATAATATGTGGTATGTTACTATGATATAATCCACACACAGATTCATCCTTCTATGGAAACTCTATATTTATTTGTCGTTAATTGAGATTATTGTGTATTTCAAATTGAATGGCAGATAAATATAATTATTATTATATCGGAAGAGATATTGAATATTGAAATTTTTCAACTGATTGGATGTAACTTGTAATGATATTGAAATATATTCCTTGTTATGTGTCAAATAAGTCTTTTAAAATTCTGAAAAGACTGGGTTTTTGGCTTTCATTTCTTCATTTCTGAACAAAAAAATCCCAAAAACTCAATATCTCCTAAAAATATAGCCCTTTGAACTTGAACCGGTAACTTGTTCTGAACCTATAAATTGTTTTTACTATATTCTTTTTCCAGAGAAAATTTCAAAGAAGAGAATCAAAATACCCATCATGTTTCCTGACATCACCTTAAAATTAGTGGAACACCTATGAATACCAATACCAAATCATTTAGTAAAAGGCTAGAAGCAGATTTTAAAGCAGTAGTATCTCAATCCAACTTTTACCGATCTATACCAACGAGTAATGAAATCTTCTCACCCAGCTTATTACCAATTCCCTGTAATATTGATGACTTAACTAGCAATACGCCAAATTTTGAGTTGCCAGAACAGAAGAGAATTAAAACACGCCAGGAAACTTGCAGCGATACATTTTCTGAGAAAAATTTGAGTCAAAATGAAACACATTCAATTCTATCTCACAATCAAATTCATTTCATTTCTGAATCGCTATCGAAAAATAATAATAGGGTGTCCGAACATTACGAAATTTCAGCTTCACCTCAAAATCCCCATCCACAACCATACAATTGTAGTATAAGCTCGAACAATGCTGTTATTTTTGAAATGTGTAGTGTAGATAGAGTAAATAAAGCTAGTTTGACTCCTAATGAACCTTCAATTACCAGTACGGAGTACGGAGGGTATCCAAGCTACAGAAGCACACAAAGAAGCGCTAGGGAGCAGGATCCAGACACAAGAAATCCAATCGAACCTCTTGATCCGCATCACAGTTATCACCCGAATCACTACCCGAATCACCATCATCACCACCACCATCACCATCACCATCGAGAAGGAAGTGTTAAGAGGGGTCAGTTCACCAGGAGTCTGTCAAATACTGAACCGCCGACAGAGGAAAAAACAGGTGAGGTTTTCAGCAGTTGAGTTTCACATACAAATAAACGGGTCACACGAAATTACTTCTGTTGAGGTTCCAAACTGAACTTTCTCTATAATTATTTGTGTTCGAAAAATAATTGAGGGGAAGTAGAACAATATGGAACCATGCAACATAAAGTGTGAATATGACAACAATGTGCTCATATGAAACTTCAAATTCATATCGAAATATTTGTTCCCTCTGCCGTATATGTAAGATACTACTTCAGATCTAAATGAATAAATTTACAAAATGAAAGTTCGCTGACGTCACTGTCTTTCTCCGTTCTTTGCTTGATTGACCATCATATGATGAATCTTTCAGAATAGTAGTAGAGGTAGTATAGTTGGTGAGAAAGGTACACATGATTTAAGTTGCAGGAGAAATGCAGGGCGTACATCTCGACATCACGAGGTGAACAACATATTGAAACGAGCTATGTTGTCAGCGGATGTTCTTGCAATTCTGGAACCCTTAGATACCAGTCGAAATGATGATAAACGACCAGATGGTATGTCTCTCAAACCATGGAAATACGGTAAACCTGTGGTATAGGATTTCATTTGCGTTGACACGGTCTCGGCTTCCCAACTAGCTGAATGTTCGAAGTCCGCTGGAACCGTAACATTGTCTGGCGAAAAATTGAAACGAAAAAAAAAACAGAATCTTGGTAACAACTATCTGTTCCATCCGGTAGCGGTTGAAACTTTTGGTGTTTATTACCCGAAGTCTCTGTTATTCGTTCATGAACTCGGAAAGAGAATAGGCCAAGCAACGAAATATCACGGTTCTACCTCTTTTTTGAAAGAAATAATTAGTATTGCTATTCAACGTGGTAATGCTGCTTCAGTCCTTGAGACTATTCCTCCTTCATATAAGTTTGATGAGATCATGCATTGCCCCTATTCCAGTATGAAACTAAAATCTCTTCGAAACAAGCCGAGATATGTGGATATTCCTCAGTCTCCTATCAAGGTTAATTCGCAAGTGATGGATACACCTTCTTATTATTCAGTCCGGTCAATGGACTTAAGTCATGCTTGCCCCCCAAATATGAGTTGCAATCATCGTGGTTCTGGTTCCCTCTCAGTGGAAGAGCTTCATGAAGCAAGAGCCGAATTGATCCCTCTACGAAACCTTTTATCACTTGAAAGAATCTATTGCAGCTTGAGAAATGGTTCTTATGCATGTTCTTCCTTAGGAATCAGTAGAGAGTTGTCCTGAAAATCTACATGAATAGCATTTTACAAGTGTTGTTCATGACGAAGAATTTCAAGAACAATGTTTCAACGATGAACGTGAATGTTTCCTACTTATTCACCAAACTCAAACACTTGTTCATGCAGCTGCAGTTTCGTAAGAATTATCATCTTTCCCTCCAACCGATTTCCTGGAATCTTTGAAGTCCACTAGATACTCGTTAGGACAGCAAGAGGATTGTTCCGAATTCTTGAGGTTCTTGTTGAATACTCTTCGTGAGCAAAACAATAGCAGAATCAATACTCTTGACCGCTCTAGATTGGATGATTTCGTACAGTCTATCTCATCTTGTGTTTATAGTAATAATAATAATAAATTAATTCATTGACAGCTGAAATAACATGATACAATATGGAGAAAAACAAAATACAAATTTGTCAATAGGATACAAGATTGAACAGAGTCCATTCTTCCTCTTGCACCTCAAAATCTTTACTTTGTAGGAAATGTTCAAGAGGTAGCAAAAACGTAAACTGGAACTTCAACTAGCGTTTCCTAATATGACTAATAACTACTCCGTGCAAACCTTATTGTTGAATCATCTGAAAATGGAACTTTCAACAGATGATGATCGACTGTATTACCAAACATGCGCCAAACTAATTGACTGTTACAAGAAAATAAGTATAGCTGAAGCACCAGTCAATCTAATAATAACACTGATGATCTTCAAACATGACTCAACATCTGACGGAAGCGCCAACCTCTTACGAAGGTTCGAAATAGATGTACACTTCAATCCAGCAGACCACTATCATAATCTTCATGCAGTCATTGTTCACTGTGGTTCTGGCTTCGAATCTGGTCATTATTACCCATTGGTTAAAGACTAAACAGACTGGTTTAAGTTTGACGATAGTCGTGTTACTAAGTGTTCTGGCGATGCATTGAATTTAAAGCGTTATGATTGGAAGAATTTCTAAAGAAAGTCAAAGCTTTCTAATTACACTAGTTTACAGCCAATTTACGACTGTAATTCCAAATACAGTTCTTCTTTAAATGTTGGTCCCTAAATGCGAAAATGATAGTAAAAATTTCCTGACACGTAAGATTTTTTTTACAAAAATTTAATGAACATGACATTTCAAATTTGCTTTTCCCCTAAATTGAGGAAATTGTCTAAAATCTGGCAACACAGCGGCTCTGCACAGTATTCGAACCAGCTTTCGCTGTATATGAGACTTGTAACTTGTAATAAAAGTATAATATTAGTGTTATATTTGTGAATAAAATAAGTTGACTCTTGTAAACGCAGTATCACATATTTGAACTCGACGTACACAATAGAATAAAAATGTTCAAAGTACAGAAACGTGGCTGCGTTAATCCCGCAGATAGTTTTTGCTATATATATGGCCAGTGTACTCCGAAACCGCAGAAACCGTCAGTTAATCAAATAACCAAAGTAGCTTACATAAGTATTTTGAATCTGTTATTGGTGATCAAGATCGCGATTGGGCTCCTCACATATGTTGCCAAACCTGTGCAGCAAATCTAAGTAACTGGTTAAATGGCAAATGCTCTTCTATGCCTTTTGCAGTTCCAATGATTTTGCAAGAAACAACAAATCATTACAAGGACTTCTACTTTTGCATGACAAACGTGTCGGTTTTTCCAGAAAGAGCAAACACAAAATTGCATATCCGGATATTCCTTCTGCAAGAAGACCGGTTCTTTATGGAGAAGGTATACCAATTCCAAGCAGTTCCACCCCCGGCAAAAAATGCTGAACTATTAGGGTCTAGATTACAACAATGGAATTATGGAATTTACTAGCCCCTAAAACCATCCTATCCTCATTTTTTACTATGCATGATAAAATGTGTGTTTGTGTAAATCCAAATGGCGTGATGGAAAATTAGGATTTGCACATAATCCGGACGAATGGTGTTTATTTATAGATTCGTCTAAAACAAGTTTGAAAGCCATTCTGCTCCATAATGGTAACAAAAGACCCTCCTTTCCTCTTGCACATGCAGTTGCCATGAAGAAACACACGAAAGTATGTCACTTATTCTAAATGCAATAAGTAATCATACGTATAAGTGGAATATGCGGTGACCAAAAAATCATAGGAAGACTACGTCTTCAGGGTGGATTTACGAAGTTTTGCTGTTTTTTTTGCCTTTGGAACAGTAGGGCAACACAGAGCCATTATCAAGTGAAAGAATGGCCTCCGAGAGATAAATATATTTCAGGTCAAGCTAACGTGAAGAATATACCTCTTATTAATCCCAAAAACGTTTTGTTACCTCCATTACACATTGAACTGGAGTCAATGAAAAATTTTCTAAAAGCATTAGACGAAGAAGGTGATGCGTTCAAATATCTTGAAAACGTTTTTCCAAAATTAAGTGATGCAAAGCTCAAGGAAGGTATATTCGTTGGACCACAAATTATTAAACTACTAAGTGATCAACAGTTTGATCAAAAATTAAGTAATGTTGAGTTAGCTGCATAGAGTTCTTTCAAAAGAATTGTTTCGGAGTTTTTAGGAAACAAGAAAGTAGAAAATAACGAAACACTTATAGAAGAACTACTTGAAAACTACTGCGGAATGGGATGTCGCATGTCTCTCAAAATCCATTTCTTGCACTCTCATTTGAATTTTTTCCCAGAAAATTTGGGTGCTGTCAGTAACAAATAAGGGGAAAGGTTACACCAAGATATACTGGCAATGAATTAACACCAAGGCAAATAGGATGCATCAATTATGAGGGATTATTGTTGGTTCCTTATGAGGGAAAACGATGAAACATATAAACGAAAGTCAACATTTGTAAAAAGGTTTTGCACAATGAAGTGTGATATCCTCAAAATATATTGTTTTTTTCTTGTTTTGTTCTTATATTTCCCTATAATATGTGAACATTTGTGTATAAAATAAAAAAACTATAACTCAAAATCTTTACGTGATGGAAAATTTTTGATGCGAAGTATATGTCAAAAAGATACGGTTTCCTCTCTCATCTTCGAGAGGCTATTGAACAACTTGCCATACTGATTTTTTTATAAATTCTCAATTTTAGAGATTTTAGTGCCATATTTTTCATTACTCTCGTCGTCGTAAAAATTATAAACGTTTCAGTATATTTTCAGATGGTAGTTTGAGTGATACAGCCGTAAGTCATCTCCAAGGACTTGAAGTTCCCCAAAAAGAGGTTAGCAGTAGAAAGGAGAACCAGAGAGACAGGGAGCGGGAGAGACAGAATCAATTTGTCGGTCTCAACAAGAAGAGCAGCTCGACAAGCCAACTTTCAGCCACAGGTGAGGTTATCTGTTGCTAAACTAGCTCACTGGCTATCATAATCTGTCTGACCTACTAATGTTTGGGAATTAGAGTATAAGTTTGTCATAGATCAGTTAGAATAGTACTCGATGTCTTCTATCAACTAAAAAAAACGTGAATGCTCTTCCTTTTTTCCTTTACACTTATATCGAATTGCGTAGGTCGAAAACGAAGGATGGGATTTGGTAAAAGAGGAAAAACTTCATTTACTGTGCATAGATCCGAAGAAGTGTTACCAGGAGATGTGCGTTTGTCGAAGCAAGGATCTTCAGCGTCTAGTGATGGAGAAGGGTCGGCTGATGGTGACAGGTCTCGATTTTACTTCTTTTGATAAACCCAAGGCGGAATCATAATCAAGTGTTATTTGTTTTTGCATTCTCGAAGAAATAACGGATTTTGAGTTACTTTATTCACTAAAAGTATTTCGTTGTTTCGAACTTGCATTTGTACCCTGAAATGAGGAAAATCAAAAGTTCTTTCAATGAATTTCGACTCGAATTTTTGAGCATAAGATTTTGCCGACTCATAATTAGTCACTCTTATTGGAAAATTGAGAAGTTCCAGAGGAGAAATGAAGAATTTTATGGAAGAGTGGTTTTTTATTCAAATACATTTTATTCAAATATACATACGTATGTTAAAATATCCAAGTGACGAATTCCTGAGACAATTTAAAAAAAAAGTCTGTATGAACTTGTGTCCGAAAATGCTTCGTTTGGAAAATACGGAGGTGTTGAAATTGAATTTTTTTGTTCGCATTTTGAAAATAACTTTTACAAAAAATAAGTTATTTGCCCTAACTTTTTTGACAGTAAACTTTGGGTACTTTTCATAAAAAAACTTAATTTCCTCACCTCCTCAACCAAAAGGTACACCTCCTCAACAACACTGGAGGTGATCGTTTTCGAGATATTTACAATTTTCTATATCGATGCATATTACTTAGCTCCTAGGTATCTAGGAGCTAAGTAACTCGTAACTCCTGATATCAGGTGATATCAGAAAATTGCAATAGCGGAGTTTTAGTGACTAGTGTGTTGAATATGAATGAGACAAGTTTACAAAATAACATTTTCGTGTCTATTATTTTTCAAATGGCGACCATTTTTTGACAAGCACTTTCCGAAAAAAGGATTTTTTGACAAATCTAACGATACTAATTTATTTGCGATTGGATTACAAATAAGAACATAAATTAAATATTACTGAGGAAAATACTCGATACAAATTCATTTACTTTTGTCAAGNTTACAATATACAGGGTGTTCCATTTAAAAATTCAGAACCGCTGAAACCGGAAGTGACCGGAAAGTGAAAAATATGTGAAAACATTCCTCTCCACATACCATTCAACTGTACCAAATCTCATTTCAATTCTCCTAATAGTCTAGAAATTATGACTTGTCTAATAGATTCGTTGACACCCGGTATATCTCGAAAACGATTACCTCCAGCGTTGTTGGGGAAGTGTACCTTTTTTACTTGGAAAAGGTGTGGGAATTAGGTTTTTTCATGAAAAGTACCAAAAGTTCACTGTCAAAGAAGTTAGGGCAATTTGAAATAAATAATGACAGGGCAGCGCCCTCTAGATATTACATAAAAATTAATACATAATCATGATTTCCCACGTCAAAAAAAACCTGGGTACCGAATTTCGTGCAAATAACTTATTTTTTGCAAGAGTTATTTTCAAAAAGCGAACAAAAAAATTCAATTTCAACACCTCGTATCTCCGAAACGAAGCATTTTCGGACACAAGTTCATGTATACTTTTTTTCTTAAAATTGTCTCAGGAATACGTCATTTGGATATTTTAATGTACTTATTTTCCACCCTGTATACAGGACGTACTTTTTAGCTGATACCACTATTGCCATCTCGAAAACGGTAGATCCTATAAGGACGATTAAATGGAACAAACGTTGCTTATTTAGGGATGCAACACACTGGTATTTTCAGATCTATAAAATCATCAACGGTTTCTGAGATATTTGCAAAAAACTGAAAATGACCGATTTTATTTTTTTGTTATACCGCCCCCATTTTCAATAATAATATCAAAAAACGACATATAAACTTGGTGCGAACTCATTTTTCAATGCAACGTTTCGTTCATTGAATTCCATCATCAATATTTTTTTAAATACAGACTTGTATATTTTTTCATACATTTCCGTAGTCATTATGATTACAAATCCGTTGACGTCACAACATATGTATTTCTCGATGGTTCTTCCCGAAACCACATCATCAATATTCTATCATTCAACTTTTTTTATTCAATGAGAAATCCAATATCAAACTGTTGTTGTAGCACATAGTTAACAGTATCGTCAATACATCTGATTGAAAAAAAGACAGAAAAGAAAATGTAACGAAATAATAAATGATAGAAAATGAACACCATAACGGAATGTCTCACGTTACATTTTTTAAATTACCGTCTCACGCAATATCGCATCAAATGTTCAAATTGTCTTTCATAATTTCTTAAACAAATACTTGCTCTAGAAATAGTGTGCTTGTGGCAGTTCTCTAACATCTGTGGAGTGATAGCGATGCAGGTACCTACTCCTTATCGAATCTTTCAATTCGTCAATATTTTGAAAATTTTTTTCTGAATACTTGATCTTTCATGAAGCCTCACAACAAAAAATCTAGAAGAGAAAGGTCCGGTGTGCGTGGTGGCCATTCAATAGGACCTTTATTTCCTATCCACCTTCCTGGCATAGTTGTATTGAGGAATTCTCTGCAGATTCTCCTTCGATGTGGTGGAGCTCCGTCGTGTAGTCCCTGATAACAAATCCAAGTATAATTCCCCGGTCAGAGATGTTTAAAAAAAGTGGGGGCCAATCATTTTATTATCAAGAACACCAAGCCATACGTTAACACCATATCTCTCTTGAAAATTGGTAACTCTATGTAAATATTCATTTTCTTGTCGCCAATGATAATGTTTATTCCTGTTGAACCATCCGTTATTGATAAAAGTACTTTAATCACACCACAATTTTTTTTACAAATTTCATTATCTTGGCGAAATTTTCTAATGAGCCATCTACAAAAAACCTTTCTCCTGTTGAAGTCCGTTGAACGCAAGTGTTGAACTTTCCTGGCTCGATTAGGCTTGAGTTTATTTTTCTTCAAAATTTTCCGTACATACGTAGTGGATATGGCCGAATTATGAGCAATCTCCCTCAGAGATACTTCCTTGTTCTCAGTTTTTCTATTTTCCATTAATCCAAAATAAAATTAATGTTACTTTATTATTATTGTGAATCTTCTTTGAACTCGCCTAAAACGCCGATTTCATTATCGCCACCACATTCAGTAACGGTACATTTTCTTTCAGAGGGTTTTTCAAAAGATCCATAATTCCGTAAAGTATTTTCGATTCGTTGAAAATATCTTTGATTAGGTTGTCGTTGAGGATACAATTCCTGATACATTGCCAGAGATTTGGTAGCATTCCTCAAACATCTCGAATACACAAAAAGCATATCCACTTTTTCGTCATTGGAAAAATTCATGTTTCTCCCTTAAAATCGCGCAACGATTTGAATAACTTTTATTTTGTGTGTGACAATTAACTTGACATTCACATTCAAGTATTTCATGGCTTAATTCAAAAAAGAAATTATCGCTTATCATGTTTCTCGTGAAAATCATCTATGACTTTTTCAATACAGTATTTTTATTATTTGATTCTTGTTGATATCCTTATTTTCTGAACAGAAATTTTTGGGTAGCTACAAATTTCCAAAAGGCATTGGAAATTATGAATGACTTGGAATTGATACATAGATTATTGGTCTCTCTTTTTCAAGACGACCCTTACAGAAATTTAGTTATACCTATCTCTATCTNTGAGTTTGCTCCACTTGCTGACGCTCGTTTTGCAATAATCCCCACTCACAAAATAAAATGCCACTTTCAACACTTGTAGGTAAAACGTAAATAACTATTTTTCCACAAAAACGGCTTTATTAAGAAAACTTGACGATTTAGGTATGGGGACATCTTGAAGCATTTTTCACCATCTTTCAATTTACCGAGTAATATACGGGGGATTTCATTTGAAAAAATGAACTTTCAACTACTTTTATGCACAATGGAAATAATAGAAATTTTAGCACGCCCTGTATGATATGGAGTCGATTTCTTGGTGTTATTTGAATATTTCAAGTTTGTCCAAACTATCATCAAAATATCAACTTTTCATGAATTGAGAGTACTGATGTACTTAATTTCAATTAAGGCTATGTTTTAGACCATAGTTAGCACAATTTATTTTTTATCTCGAAAACAGATAAAGCGAACTCAAAGAACTCAATATCATCAAGCTAATTGCGGTAAACAATGGGTTTAAATCCGAATTATTAAACAAAATACTTGCCAAGAAAGTCTACACAAAAGCGATTCGAGACATTTTTCCCATTGATAAGGTAGATAATCAAAATTATAGAGCTGTAACCTATTTTGGACAACCAACGGAAAAAGTGGCTTCATTTTTGAGGAAGCGAGATATCAAAATTGCATATAGAACAAGTAATACGTTAGGAAAGCTAGTTAAAAATAATAAGAATAAAACATCCAAATTCGAGAATTCAGAAGTATATAAATTAAGGGGTGGAACGTGCTCTAGGGTATATATTGGTCAAACTAGCAGGACATTTAGGAATCGAATCCAGGAACATCATAAGAGCTATGTAAATAAGAAAACAAATTCAACATATTCAAATCATCTTCTAGAAGAAAATCACATCTTTATAATGAAGAGTAGGAAATTTTGCACATTGAAAATAAAGTTTTGAAACTGAATCATTTGGAAGCAATGGTAATTAATATACTTCAAAATTCAATAATATACATTCTAATGAATGACCAACTAGATTTGAAAAGATCACCATTATTGAACTTGTTTTCTTAAAAACCCAGAAAGAATTATTATTGATGTAGATGTGAGGCAATATGCTTTAGGTAATCATAATTGAGTAGGTACGAGATGTAGAGGTTCAGGTAATTTCTTACAGGTAGTCTCAATTATGGTTACCTGTAGTATATAAATATGAATGTAAGGATTTGATGTATTAATGACTTGAAAAAGCTAATGTTTAGCGAAACATGTTGTGATATATTTTTTCAATAAAGTTTGTGGAGATCAAACCGTTCAGGTGTAGTTTGTGAAATTACTATGGATCTTCATCGAGTAACGGCCGAATCAATAAATAAAGGCACAGCTGTTCGCAGATTGTACATTTTAGAAAATATCTGAAATAAATGAACAAATCTCCACCTGTGAAAACTGT